CCCGATGCGGGACTCGATCCCGGGACTCCAGGATCATGACCTGAGCCGAAGGCAGTCGCTTAACCAACTGAGCCACCCAGGCGCCCATAATTTAATTTTAAATACACTTGTTATCTATACCTCTCTTTCCTCCCAACCCACAAGGCTGTAAGCTCCATGAGGTCAGGCTCCTTTACCATATTCACTAGTGTATTACAGGCTCCTAGAATAATGCCTGGCACATGCTAGAAGATCACTAAATGTCTGCTGAACGCATGCATGAATATTATTTTTTGAGAAATCTAATATATAATACAAGCCGAAACATCTGCATCCCCAACCCCAAGGAAGGAAGTCCACAAACCCGACAGGCACAACGTCGGTTCGCAGTCCCGCCCACTTCTCCAGCCTCCCAGTCCCCGCCAGTACCCCCCGCACCGCGCCCCCGGCGCCAAGCACGCGCAGTTCCTCCTGGCGACACCTCCTGCTCCCACTAGGAGACGCCCGAGCCCGGCCGTACTCGAAGCACAAACCTGGTCCCACGTGACCCGCGCCGTAGCCACGTGACCGGCGTCGCACCCGGTGGGCGTCACGTGACGGACTCCGCTTTCCTCCAATCGTTGTGCGCCTTTCGGGGATTCCGCCCAGGACGCGGACCGAAACTTAAAACACCCCACTCTCCCGCCAGCCAAAAGGCACGGCTGCCTGCTTCCAGCTGGGTAGTGGTGTCTCTCAAAAGTCTTCTTCTAGAGCGGCTTCAGGAGGCGCGGGCCTACAGCGCGTTCAGTCCCGGAAGTGACGTCTCCCAGAGGGGCCGGAAGTGGCAGTGGAGGGAGGGAAGATGGCGGAGGTGGTGAGTCCGGTGCCCGGGGCGGGGCGGAGGGAGCCAGGGGAGGTGGGTAGAACCCGAGGCCCCCCAGTAGCCGACCCTGGCGCCGCGCTGTCTCCCCAGGGGGAGATAATCGAGGGCTGCCGCCTGCCCGTGCTTCGGCGGAACCAGGACAACGAAGATGAGTGGCGTGAGTGACGTCGGAGGGCGGGGCTAAGGAACCTGAAGGCGAGGGGCGGGAGGGAGCCAACCGAACCCTCGGGAGGGGGTGGGACCTCTATAATCCTGGGGCGGGCGGGGCGCAGATACCCCCCGAGGGGCGTGGCTTTCTGCCGCACCGAAGAACGGGGCGGGGCTTGGAGAGGGGGCGGCACTTGGTGACTAAAGGGGGTTTGGGAGAAAGCTTCCAAGTGCTGGGGCTTAGGGATCCGGCCTGGGGGTGGAGATCAGGTCTCAGGAGGGTGGATTCTCATCTCCTGGCTCGACTAAAGCTCCTGCCTGTGTTGTTCCCACAGCCCTGGCCGAGATCCTGAGCGTGAAGGACATCAGTGGCCGCAAGCTTTTCTACGTCCATTACATTGACTGTGAGTCCTGGGCTGGGGTGAGGTAGGGCTGCAGGGTGGGGTTGGGAGACAGCCTCTGGCATTCCTTCCTGAGCCATCCCCACTGCTGCAGTCAACAAACGCCTGGATGAATGGGTGACCCACGAGCGGCTGGACCTAAAGAAGATTCAGTTCCCCAAGAAAGAGGCCAAGACCCCCACCAAGAACGGACTTCCTGGGTCTCGCCCCGGCTCTCCAGAGAGAGAGGTGGTGAGTAGGTCCCCTGTTTCACCTTTTCTCTCCTGCCTCCTACTTTTCTCATCTCTTGGCCTCAGGGGTTTTTGGATGGGTAGAAGGCTGCACCCTTCCACTCTGGCTTCAGCTTGCAAAGGATGGGGGCCAAATTGTAGCTTCCAGAGTCCAGTAGCTATTCCTATGTCCTTGAGAGGGCAGAGGGTGGGGCTTGATTACTCCATGTTGAGGGGCCCCTACTCCCCTTTCCCATACCACCACCATCCCCACCCCAGAGGAAGACCCTGGACCTATCTCTACAGCCGGCCTCCGCCCAGGCCAGCGGGAAGACCTTGCCAATCCCGGTCCAGATCACACTCCGCTTCAACCTGCCCAAGGAGCGGGAGGCCATTCCCGGTGGCGAGCCTGACCAGCCGCTCTCCTCCAGCTCCTGCCTGCAGCCCAACCACCGCTCAACGGTACCCTCAGCAATTCCAGGGACCTTGCTTTCCTCTGAGGTCCCACCTTCCCTACCTTCTGACCCACCTTTCTTGGTTTCTCTCTGCAGAAACGGAAGGTGGAGGTGGTTTCACCAGCAACTCCAGTGCCCAGCGAGACAGCCCCAGCCTCAGTTTTTCCCCAGGTGAGTCCCCCAAACCCTTTTCTTCTTCCTCTTGTTTTCCCTCTGGCAGCCGCTTTCAGGCTCCTCTCACTACCCTCCCTTCCGTTCTCACTACTTTACTTGCAGAATGGATCAGCCCGTAGGGCAGTGGCAGCTCAGCCAGGACGGAAGCGAAAATCAAATTGCTTGGGCACTGACGAGGTAGGTCTGGGGAAGAGGGAAGCTGGGTGAAAAGGGGGGGATCGTAGGCAGGATGGAGAGTTCAGTGATTAGTTTAAAAATAAACAAGAAGGGGTACCTGGCTGGCTCAATCGGAAGAGCGTGCCACTCTCGATCTCGGGGTTATGAGTTCAAGCCCCACGTTGGGTGTAGAGATTAAAAATTAAACTAGGGAAGCCTGGGTGGCTCAGTCGGTTAAGCATCTGCCTTCGTCTCAGGGCATGATCCCAGGGTCCTGGGATCAAGTCTTGTGTCGGGCTCCTTGCTCAGCAGGGAGCTTGCTTCTCCCTCTGCCTGCTTTGCCTGCAGCTCTCCCTGCTTTGCTCTTTCTCTCTGATGAATAAGTAAATTAAGTCTTTGTTACAGTTGTTTTTTTTTTTAATTTGTTTTTTTATTTTTATTTATTTATTTTTTTGTAAATTAAATCTTTAATAAATAAATTAAAAAAAAATAAGCGGTGGTAGGCAGTGATGGTTGTTGGAAGGATTAGGAGTCAGGTAGAGCTGGTTTAGGTCAGTCATTGGGTAATCTTTTTCAAACTGTAATTGAGAACTTTCCTAGTTTCCTTTTCTTTATTTGGAAAACGGGATATAATACAGTACCAGCGCCGCCCCCCCCGCCCACCCCCAACATAGGGTGGTTGTTAGGGTCGAACAAGGAAAGCTATGGAAGGGTTATGCGAGCTGTCAGGTGTCCTGCTTGAGCTGTCTCCTGTAACCTGGTGTTTTCCACTGGCCCTGGACAGGACTCCCAGGACAGTTCAGATGGAATACCGTCAGCGCCACGCATGACTGGCAGCTTGGTGTCTGACCGGAGCCACGACGACATTGTCACCCGGATGAAGAACATTGAGTGCATCGAGCTGGGCCGGCACCGCCTGAAGCCGTGGTACTTCTCTCCGTACCCACAGGAGCTCACCACATTGCCCGTCCTCTACCTCTGTGAGTTCTGCCTCAAATACGGCCGGAGCCTCAAGTGTCTGCAGCGTCACTTGGTATGAGGGGCCCCAGGGGGCTGCTTTCCTACCACCCCCCTACCCTGCTCCTGCCTCTGATCCTCCTCTCTTCCTCAGACCAAGTGTGACCTGCGACATCCTCCGGGCAACGAGATTTACCGCAAGGGCACCATCTCTTTCTTTGAGATTGACGGCCGTAAGAACAAGGTCTGTGGCTGAGGGGCAGTGGGGAGTCATTGGCACTGGTGGTCTGGGGGAAATTAAATGAACAGCTCTTCCCTGTTCAGGAAAACACTGAGCAGTCTGGCCAACAGATTAGTTCATCTCATTTTTGTTGAGTTCCTGCCGTAAGGCAGGTAATGGGAGGTATAAAGATGATCAGTAATTAGACAAAATCTCTGAGTTCACAGTCCACAGAAAAAACAGATTTGCCAGCATCCACTCAGATCCCAGGGGTAAGTGTCATGAAACAAAGGGTGGGTTATGAGGACCCGGAGATGGCCCACAAAGCTTCCCAGAGGAGGTGATCTTTGATCCTTGACATGAAGGATAAGGTGGGTAAGGGGATCCCAAGCAGTGGGGTTCTGAAGGGCAGGCATGGATGTACAGATGGTGTGAAAGGTAAAGATCATTCTGGCTTAAAGGCAGAAAGGATGAGGTGAGGCGGTTCCAAGAGACAAGAGCTCAGGTGGTGAGAAGAAGGTCAGTTAGGGGGAGAGCAGGGGTCACTGCAGGTTTTGGGCTTCAAACCTGCCTTAGTCTGTGGCTGCAGGGAGGAAGGAGGGAGTAATGTGGATGCATTCAGCTAAGACTGTGAGACCGCCCCTGGGGCATGGAGGGCAGTGAGGGAGAGGGAGGCATCCTGAACCGAGGGGAGAGCTCTGGCTGGGTGCTGAGGAAGCTTGAGGGAGATACTGCCGCTTTCACCGCTGTCCTGTTTTTTGTTTTTTTTTAAAAGATTTTATTTATTTATTTGACAGGGAGAGACACAGCAAGAGACGGACCACAAGCAGGGGGAGTGGGAGAGGCAGAAGCAGGCTTCCCGCAGAGCAGGGCGCCCAATGTAGGGTTCGATCCCAGGACCTGAGCCAAAGGCAGACGCTTAACAATTGAGCTACCCAGGTGCCCCTGTCTCAATAAATTTAAAAAAAAAGGAACTTAGTGGGACACCTGGGTGGCGCAGTTGGTCCAGCATCCGAATCTTGGTGTCGGCTCCGGTCTGATCTCGGGGTCTTGAGATCAAGCCCTGGGTCTGGCTCCACACTCAGGGCAGAGTCTGCTTGGGTTTCTCTCTCCCTCATCCTCTGCCCCTCCCTACTGCTGTCCGCACTCTGTCTCACTGAAATAAATAAATCTTAAAAAAAAGAAAAAAAGAAACTTAGTGGCAAAGAGGTCTAATAAAGAGGTATGTGGGTAGACTTCTTGGAATGGGTTCAGAGTGTAATGTTATATCTCCTGAATAAGGGTGTAGAAGGTGACACGTTAATTTCCCAGTCATACCTATTCTTGCCTGATAGGTTCATGAAAAAAGTCGTTCTGGGCCAGGGATGGAGACTGCATGGTGACCTCAACAATGTGAATTTCTCTCCAGCGAAGCTGATCTGACCACTGCCACAGACAAATGCCTCACGGTCCAAAAGGAGAGTCCTGTGCTGAACTCCTGATATAGCAGAATCTATTCCAAGAGATCAGCCAGACACTCAGTTTAAGTTTGATGACATTGGATTGCCTCTGGGATGGAGGTGGCAGAAATTCCTCTCCAGAGTTTGCTTATTCTGGAGATGGCTTTGCTTTCCCTGACCACAGTGCCTCACTCAGCCAGGATTTTCATTGGCCGTAAACCCCACAGCACTGCTTCCAAGCCTGGAACCTCTCTTGACTGCAAAAGTAATGAGGCATTTGGGCCCAGGACCATGGGCATCACAGGTCTTAGCTCGAGCCATCTTGGAACAGCAGGCTTTACAGAACAGTGGGGTGCTTACTCAAAACAGTTACTCTGCCTACTGGGGGACAATATCTTGCTAGCTTTAGGCAGCTCTCCTATAGGATATGGTATGTCCTTATCCTAATGGTACCTATAGATTTTCATCAATAGTGGTGACTGAGTGATGACATGGAGAGGTCAATGTCTTTGAGAGAAAAGTTCAATGTTACTTACAGTTCCCCTGGAAACAAGGGGCACAGCACGCCACACAGGGCCACGTGGTAGCACCAGAGTCGACCAGGAGTCAGAGAGGGGTGAAGGGAAGGCATAGGCCACTGCCTTTTGGGGAGCTTCTGTGGGAAAGTCAAGGCAGGGCAGGGTAAGCAGCTTAGGATTGGCTAGTTTGAATAATTCTGGTGGACTTTGGGACATAGGGACTGTCCCTAGGTGTCTGGTACCAGGGCCGATTTAGGGCAGGGGAATATTGACTTGGTATTTGAGGAGTAAGTAGAGGAAGTGGTTCAGGGTTTGGGCTCTGGATCGCAGGGGAGATGTAAACAACTTTGGCTGTTAGTTTGGTGCTGTAACTAACAGCTGCCAAATAAACAAATACGCAATCTAAGAAAACACAGAACAATCCTCTGAATCAAGGACTTATATGTCGTGTTTTTTCACTTTTGATCAGAATATAAGGGTCTGGGAACCAAGGGATAAAGTAGAAGTGGCTTCTTTTATATAAAATGATGATCTCACATTTTTTTTCAACTTTTATTTGAACTAGTTTTAGACTCACAGAGAACCTGAAAGAGTTCCCAAATACCCTTCACTTGGCTTCTCCTAATGTTGACATTTTATAGATCCAGAGTGCAATGATCAAAAGAAAGAAAGTAGCACTGATACAGTACTATGAACGAATTTGCAGACAATATTCACATTTTGCCAGATTTCCCATCAATGCCCATTTTCTGGTCCAGGATCTGACCGAAGATCCCACATTACATCTAATTATCATGCTTTCTAGTCTTCTGCCATATGTGACAGTTCCTTAGTTTTGTTTTGTTTTTTCTTTTATGACCATGACACTTATGAAGAGCACTGGCCATTTGTTTTGGAGAATCTCTCTCAGTTTGGATTTGCCTGATGTTTTCTCCCAATTGCATTGAAGATATTTATTTTTGGCAAGAATACCACAGAAGCGCTATTGTGCCTTTCTCCATTAGCATATCACTGCACTTTTTTTAAAAAAGATTTTATTTTGAAGTAATCTCTATACCCAGCATGGGACTCGAACCCACAACCCCAAGATCAAGAGTCGCACGCTCCTTGGACTGAGCCAGCCAGATGCCCCATCACATATTACTGGTATGTTAACTCTAATCACTTGGTGAAGGTGGTGTTTGTCAGAGTTCTCCCCTCCAGAGTTACTATATTTTATTTTATAATTCATAAGTATCTTATAGGGAGATATTTTGAGACTCTGCAAATAATCTGTCCCTCATCACACTTTTCCCACTATTTAAGAATTCACTGATGATTGCCTGAAGCTATTACTACTATGATGTGTGCCTAGTGGTGATTCTATTTCTGACATTCCTTTGACACTGATTCATTAGAATTCTAAATATTTTATTTATTTATTTGACAGAGAGATAGAGAGCACAAGCAGAGAGAGCAGCAGAGGGAGAGGGAGAAGCAGGCTCTCCACCGAGCAGGGAGCCCGATGCGGGACTCAATTCTACGACCCTGGGATCATGACCTGAGCCAAAGGCAGATGCTTAACCATCTGAGCCACCCAGGCACCCCTGATTAATTGGAATTCTAGAGCTTTCCCTTTTCCCTCATCTATTCATTCAATTACTTACTTATAGCAACATGGGCTCATGCATATTTACTCATTCTATAGGTTTTAATCCATTATTATCATTATTTTCTTACTTAACTCATTCCAGGCTTGGCCATCGAGAGCTCCTTCAAATTCCCTGCCTTCATACGTTGAAAAAGTCGCCATCATTAGAAAATTTCATATTGATATATAATTCACATACCATAAAATTCACCCCTTTAAAGTATAAAATCTAGTCATTTTAGTATATTCACAAGATTGTGAAACCACCACAATGATCAAGTTCCAGAATATTTTTGTCATGTTTAATGCTTTGCAACTTGAATTCTACTTTGCTTTATATCAAGAGCATTACCTCTGATTTTTTATTGTTTCCATTTACCTGGTATAACTTGTCCATCCCCTTTAGTTTCTCTGAATCATGTTGCTCTAGGTGTTTCTCTTGCAGGTAACACATAGTTGGGTCTTGCTATTTGAGTCCTACTGAAAACTTTAAAAAAATAGGTGAGTTAAGCCTTACATTTACATTTATCAATATAATTGGTATGTTTGGTCTTAACTCTCCATCATAATATTTTATAATTATGTTTGCTATATTTGATATTTCTTTCTTTCCTCCAAGATTTTATTTAAATTCAAATTAGTTAACATATAGTGTAGTATTAGTTTCAGGAGTAGAATCTAGTGATTCATTGCTTACATAAAACACCCAGTGCTCATCACAACAAGTGCCCTCCTTAATGCCCATCACCCATTTAGCCCATCCCCCCACCCACCTCCCTCCAGCAACCCTCAGTTTGTTCTCTATAGTTAAGGGTCTCTTATGGTTTGCCTCCCTCTCTGTTTTTATCTTATTTTATTTTTCCTTCCCTTTCCCTATGTTCGTCTGTTTTGTTTCTTAAATTCCACATACGAGTGAAATCATATGGTATTTGTCTTTCTCTGACCGACTTATTTCGCTTTGCATAATACCCTCTAGTTCCATCCACATCATGGATTTTTTTTCTATACAAAAATCTTTATTTTAACATTTAAAAGAATCACATGTTCATCCTGACCATTTTATTAGGCTTGACCACCCAATAAGTTATGCACAAATGTAGGTACTTGGAAGGTTAGTGCATACCTCTTTCACTGATGGAGTCAGGGTGAAGTGGCCACTCTCCCCACAGTCAGACCCCAACTTGAAAGTGGCAAGATTTCATTCTTTTTTGATGGCCAAGTAATATTCCATTGTGTATATATATATATATATACACACCACATCTTCTTTATCCACTCATCAGCCAATGGACAGTTCAGCTCTTTCCATACTTTGGCTATTGTAGACATTGCTGCTGTAAACATTGTGGTGTATGTGCCTCTTCGAATTGGTATTTTTTATATCCTTTGCATAAATACCTAGTAGAGCAATTGCTGGGTCATAGGGTAGTTCCATTTTTTTTTTTTTTT